ATTTCAAATATTTTAAAACCGGTATGATTTTGGTTGTACAGTAAATAAAAAAAATCAGAAAGGATGAATTTAATATATTCGATATTATTCATATGTTTYGTGAAWGTTGTAAATAATTGTTACGCKGCTGGTAAATTACTTTATATTTTATAYAAAWTWAAATGGAGATCCYGTTTRAATGAATTWTATTGACAAAATTGATACATCTGCAATTTTGAAAGGTAATAGATTTGTCTAAAATTATACAARTTATAAATTTKCTTCTTGTTAGATGATTCGACGACATTTAGAAATGGTACCTTGGATAGAGGCATGYYTCCGGATTGTACTTTTAATGAGAAAGATATAGTATTYTATGTTTAYTCAAGGTAATAATTTCGATTCTATGCGTACGCGATTTTGTCGATTATTTTTCAAGAAAATGTAAGAAAAATTTGTAAAAATATATTACTGAAGTATGAAATTAAAACTTTATACTTTAGGGATAAGCGAGATGGTATTATTCTTAAGAAAGAAACTTTAACGAATTACGATCTGTTTAAAAAGTCTACAATATCAAAACAAGTTGTATTTCTTATACATGGATTCCTTTCAACTGGGAATAATGAAAATTTCGTTGCAATGTCGAAAGCTTTGATACAAAAAGTAAGAYTTTATCTTTCTCTCTCAGTTCGAAGTATGATTAAAAAAGAAATTTTGTTCGAAAAAAAGTATTCTCGATGAACGAATTATAATATCATTTTCAGGATGATTTTCTTGTAATTTCGGTCGACTGGAAGAAGGCTGCTTGCAATGCTTTTGCTTCGACAAAGGATGCTTTGGGTTATCCCAMAGCCGTTGGAAACACACGTCACGTTGGAAAATTTGTAGCTGAGTAAGCCGCAGAAAACATATTACTAAATTTTATATATAAGCTTCAATTTTATTTTAATATATATTTATTTTATTATACTAATTTATTCTTCTCTCTCTATATACAGTTTTACAAAACTACTTGTAGAAAAATATAAAGTGCTGATATCAAATATACGATTGATCGGGCATAGTTTRGGCGCGCATACTTCAGGTTTTGCGGGAAAAGAAGTTCAAAAGTTAAAATTAGGAAAATACAAGGAAATTATCGGGCTTGATCCTGCTGGACCGTATTTTCTTACGAGTAAATGTCCGGACAGACTTTGCGAAACAGACGCAGAATATGTTCAAGTTATACATACATCAATCGTATTAGGAGTATATTATAATGTTGGTAGCGTTGATTTCTACGTGAATTATGGAAAAAATCAACCTGGTTGCAAGGGTAATATTTTTATATTAGAATGAAAAATTCTATGGAATAGAAATAGTACAAGTATCGATTATATCCTATGCCTTGTTATATGATTTCGGAGTTAGACACTATTATTTTTAAATAATTTTTATATTAGAACCATCCTGCTCTCATACGAAAGCCGTGAAATACCTGACTGAGTGCATAAAACAAGAATGTTGTTTAATTGGAACACCATGGAAGAAATATTTCAGGTATTTTATATTATTCAATTTTCTACAATTAGTAATGATGATTCCGTTAGGAAACGAATGTGAAGTGATCATCTGTATGTGGTACATGTATATATTCTATACACATTATTATTGTTGCTTTATCTAATAATATAACTATAAATCCTCTTTATTTTTTTCTAGCACTCCAAAACCAATTTCCCAGTGCAGAAGAGACACCTGTGTTTGCGTTGGATTGAATGCAAAAAGTTATCCTGCTAGAGGCGCATTTTATGCACCGGTTGAAGCCAATGCACCTTATTGCCATAACGAGGGGATTAAACTTTAATTATAAACAAAAGTCAATGTACACGAAAATGTATCTATTGATGAATATTAAATGAATAAATGAACAGTCAAATAGATTTTTGTATACATTTAATATACTATTATATATCTTATGTTTCGCTTAGGACACGGTTAACTAATAAAACATTTCGGACGACTTTGAATTTACGAGATAAATGTAAATTATTATCAATAAACGCATGAAAAAAACGTTTCTTTTTGAACATGCATAAACTCTAGGACATATCTGGATGTAAAAAGTTATTTCGTTTGATAATATCTATATATATATACTCGTTGCACGTTATTTTAATATAGATAAAAATTATATAAAAATTGAATTTGTGTCTTATCTTAAATAATATTTATTTTTTTATTGCATTTCAATAGTATAAATAGTATGAGAATTATTT